CGCCAGGCATTTTTCTTTTTTTTGTTTAGACAGCTGACGGCCGATAATTCGGACGAAATCCCTTCCTGAACGGATGATCCTCTCACGGGAAGGGATTTCCTCCGGCGCACGATTCGAATCAGCGGAACGGCGCGTGAGTGTATACATGGGCCGGATAGTTCGGATCGAGGACGGGTCCCGGCTCAATTCGAATCACAGCTGCCCATGTAAACAGGGTAATTGTCTGGTGGCGCGACGCCGGGCCGGGCTGCTGGCGTCGCCCGGCCGGATTCCGCGCGCTCAATGGCCGCCTGCAGCTGTGCCGGCGGCTCCCGTCTGCTGCGCAGTTGGCCGGCCCGGTGGGCTGCGGCTGATGCCCGGCAAGTGCTGAACACGCCGGTGACAGCCGACGCGGTACTTGTAATCGCGCTCTGCGGCGCGAAATTTTAGTGGCGCGTGAAACTGGTGCTGGCTTGGGCTAGCGCATGCTCGGTCGATTCATCCTCTGGCAGGGAGTACTACTGCTGAACTCGGACACGCCAGTTGAGAACCATGTTCTGCACGCATGTGCGCTTCACACTCCGCACAGAAACTCCCAGCGCTTCTGCTCCATGTTTGCCTGGTGGCACGGCTGTATGTACCAACAATATATGCGAGTTGGAGCCTCCCATCCTCCCCAGTTGCGGAACCAAAACGGTGTCGGTCCACCTAGTTTTGAGTCACCACTCTACTGTACTGTTGTTATATATATATATATATATATATATATATATATATATATATATATATATATATATATATATATATATATATATATATATATATATATACTGATTATCTCATGGTTAGCACAGGTTTTCAGGGTTAGGCTGATTATTGACATTGGTTACGTCGGAAGCATTTCGTGATGTCAGTGCTAGTGTCAATGCGTGGTACTGGTGGTGGTGCTGACTGAATAACGCGCACACACGCACGCGCGCACGCACACGCAAGCACTTGCACACGCGCACACGCACACGCGCACACGCACACGCACACGCGCACACGCACACGCACACGCACACGCACACGCACACGCACACGCACACACGCAAATATGTATATATATATATATATATATATATATATACATACATATATATATATATATATATATATATATATATGTACAATGACGTTTATTAGGCCCCCGCTATCCATGCCAATGTCATTTCCGGCGAGAGCGGATTTCGTCCCTCCTCCGCCATATTTTCCGTCGCCATTTCCAAAAGGCTTGTTGCAGGTCTTCGAAACTTAGTGATGTATTAGGTCTTTTTTTACGTGTTGTGCAACACTTTTGATGAGCAACACATCGACCCCGCGATCGACCTCGCGAGAAGCGTGGTTCGACAGGTATTCTATTTGCGCCCGTTGTGTATCCGAAATATTTGAGGGAAAAAATGAAAATCAGAGGCGCGCCTTGGTCGTGTAGGACTGTTCAATGAAAACAGTGGCCCAGTTCATTTTAAGACATGCGCGTAACGGTGGTATGAGAAGACACGCAAAAATAAACATTCAAAAATGCGCGACGTTTTACACCACTAAGTAGATTCTTGCACCCACGCGCCGGCAGTGGGCTAAGCTAGGTTTTCAACAAAAAAACAAAACTCAGTTATACCTCCACGCTTGATTCTACGCACGACCGTAGCATATATACATATATATATATATATATATATATATATATATATATATATATATATATATATATATAATATAAAAATATGTATTTGAAGCCATGCAGTTGTACCGGAAAAGTAATTCAAAACTACTGTTCAAGAAAGTTGCTTCTGTACGGCCAGAATGCTTACTGATTTACTGTTGTAAAGATATTTCACATACAGAATAGGAATGTGTGCCGTACCTATTTAACTACGTTATTTGCACACAAATCGCTCATATGTGTGGCAGTAATGGCTAAGCTAAAACGTCTCCAAAATGTGTAGTTCCCCGTTGCTCCAATTTCAAAACGCTCTGATTTGTCTCCCTTGGACATATTATGGCGAATGGGTCGCCGTTTTGCGTAGTAAGTTAGACCGAAGATTTTCGAGATACACGCAGGGGAGGGGATGGGCAGAATCTGCTTCCGCATAGCGTCATAGAACCATACGTCATCACGGATTGCCAGATGAACGCTGCAGTCGACGCGCCCCTTTAAGCCAAAATACGATACCTTGTTCCACCATGGACTGATTACCAGCAGTTCCGTGGTTAGGCTGCGCATCTGGGAAACCAGAAGTAGGGGGTTCAATTTCTCGCAGTGCTCGCCCTTTCTGCCAGGGTGAGAGGCAGGCGACGCCATATAGCCTCAGTAACTGAGCGTGTCACGGAGCCCCAATGACAACCACGCGCCATCGCTCAAGGAGCAGGATTAAAGAGTGTCTTGGCACCATTTAACGGAAAACGAGCCGCCTCCAATCGTATGAGGACTGCGCCGTGCCCGGTAGCCGTGCGCGGAAATTTCCGCTTGTTTACGATCTGGCTGCGTACGGCCGTGGCAGTGTCGATGTCAGCTACTGCGTCACTGCCGGGCGCAGTGTGTAGGTGGCGAGTACAGCAACTTGCGTCAGAGCCAGCATTGGTGTTGTCAGCGCCGCGGGCCTGCCAGTTGTCAACTTGTTTTCCCAGAAATCAATTTAAAACGGACGCTGCGTAGTTCTGGGGCCCGTGGGTCACCTTGGGCAGCGGCTAACCTCAGTGTGAGGCCTGCGATTTGTTTCACTTCGTCAAATGCAGGGAAATGTAACCAGCCACGTTACCAAGCACCGCGCTGTTAGTCAGCATGATTCCTGGCGCCATCATGTGTAGCTTGTAAGCATTTCACCACGTTGGTGATGGATTGGGCGATGACACGTACAGTGTGTATCATGTTTTAAGCACGAGCCTACCACTCCGTATCCATTGTTTTATTTCTGACGCGCTAAGATAGCTACCATGAATACTTCATTAGACGGCGCCGCGTTTTAGTCACAGTGTGTAACGCCTCTTGCACCGATAGTGCCTTATACATAAATATAGAGCTCCCCAATATTCACAAGACGTAGTGCAAGAGTTAGGTACTTGTCACGCATCACCCGAGATGTCATGACCGCTGAAGCTTTGAAATCTCATATGCATACCAGCCATTTGTCAATGACTCTGGTGATCGCACCAGCTACTCCAGATCTTACCAAATCTTCATTTGAGGTATGAAAGTGAGTGAGCAAATAATTCTGAAGACGAAACGTTCTTTGTTCTGACAAACACTGGGAAATGTATAAGTTGAAACAGCATGCTTAATTTGAAGCTGGTTGTTCCGTACAAATCTGCCTTCACACGGTTCCCCTTTTTTGTGAAATGTCGGCTTTGCTGTCCCGTCACTGAGCTTCTGTTTTATCTCCATTTCTCGGCCCCCTGTCGAGTTTCCCTTAAGATTTATGTTTTGTTTAGTTAACCGTCCCTGCGACACCGATCCTACGGCCAGCCAGAAAACTGCGCCACATATGCCGTGTTCTGTGCGGGGCCGCGCCGCCCTGTAACCGGGCAGTTGTCTCGCGAGCGCCGCCAGGGAGAGGACGCGTATGTCCTCTTCCTGGCCCGAAATTCAAACCAAAAAATATAGCATGAGCCGACGGATGCGTGCTGACGAGCGATCGAACGATACCGAACACTGGTGTTAAACTCATGAATTTGATTGTCTGACTAGGTAGACAGAAACTATTGTGTTGACATTGGGTCAACCATTCTCGTTTTCTCAGACGGGAAATTGTATGTACAAGCTGTGTGGTGTGCTTTCAACCAGCAAAACATGCTTCTGTCCTGTTTTCAACTCGAAAATGCAGTGCTATCTGTGGTTTGATTGGTTTGCTGACTAGATCGGGAGAAATGTATGTAAAAATCAGGTATTTTTTCATGATAAATTTGCGTTACTTGGGAGGAATAGGAGCTCCAGTTTTCCACAGCAGCATATCCAACTGTCACTTATATCAATTTGTCAATGTGGTCTGTTCATCAGAAAATATGTGTGTGGAATATGTGGCTGAGTCATGCTGTATGTAACCTGTTTGAGTATTGCCTGGAATTCAGAGTGCTGCACTTTTTTATTTGAAGATTCTTCTGAGCTGATGTCTTCATTATCAAGGTTTCACCTGTCTACGGCTGTCATAGCAGTTTTTCTCGACTTTTCGGTGAGATGTCTCCGTATAATTGTTAACTTCGTGCAATCTGGTTTACTGGCGTCCTATAGGTCGTCTGTCTGGTGTCCCTGCCAGGAAAATCAAAGAGAAGTTTGATTTTTAGAATTGTGCGTGGTGATGCATCCCGATTCTCGGAAAGTTTGAAATGTTTGTACCGCCAGCAAATGCATCGTTTCCTTATCAAGACACTTTACCCGCAAAAGCTTTCAAGAATGGCCCAAAACCCGGCCAGAAACCCGAAAAACGTTGTGTCTCGATATGGAGTATATATTAAGGCTTACTCTAACGTGCCATCTAGGGGGGGGGGGGGGCGAGGCTAACCCTCCCAGTTAGGTTCCCACCCCCATCTCAACGCCAGTCAGAGCAAGCAAGTCATAGGGGGTAGGGGAAGACGAAAAGTTGCGTGGAATAGCTGAAGATACACCTGGGCTCTTAGTTGTTTGAAAATACTGTTTCTCCATGTTTTTTCTGAGCACGCGAAGGACAAATTGTTGTGAGCACATATAAGATTTCCTGTAATTTTGGGGTAAAAAGCCCCCATCCCTGTAGCCCTATAGCTATAGCACTATATAGCTATATAGCTATATCCCTATAGCTATATAAGCCCCACTCCATTTCAATGCCCGGACCCCCACTACCTACTACCTATTACCCGCCCCGATGAAACGGCTGAGGAGACGACCCCGCACCCAATGTTATTATTGGGCCGGCCTACGTGAAACCTCACCATCCGCGCTCGCCGTCGTTGATTGGTCGGCCAGTGCCGTGTTCGTGACGTCAGCGGGACACACAGAATGACCTTGCTGGCGAGTGGAAAGTCGCCACAGTGTGAGAGAGATTGGCGAAGAGGGTGGTGGTGTGGGAGTGTGTCTGTTCCCCACTGTCTCCGTGACAAAGGCTGTGCGCACCGTGTGAATGTTGAACGGTGCACCTGTTGAGGCTGAAAGAAAACGATTGGGTTGAAGGCACGCACACACTGCAGTCGTTGATCGATCCGTAGGTGCCACCCTGTCACTAGTCCAGTCACCAAACCTCTAAGAAGCGATCATATCAAGATTCGGTTCTCCCAAGCCTCGCGGAGTATCTGAGACGTGACCTGAAGCTGTCCTCAATTCAAAGTTGCAGATATGAAGTCCGAAGTGTTCGCGGCGTCCGACTTCATCGTGAACCTCTTGCGAATGAGCAGCCCCGGAAGTCTGACCGACCGTGACTTGCTGCGGTTCCGCGACACGCTGGCCGTGGTGATGAGGGATCACTACCATAACCACTGGTTCCCGGAGAAGTCGTTCAAGGGCTCCGGCTACCGTTGCATCAGGATCAACGGCCAGATGGACCCATTGGTGGCGGCGGCGGGCGACAGCTGTGGGCTGGACCGGGTCTTCCTACGGTCTCTGTTCCCCAGCGAACTGACCCTGTGGGTTGACCCTCGGGAGGTGTCGTACCGGATCGGCGAGAACGGCTCCATCTGTGTCCTTCTCGACGAGAAGGTGGTGGAGAGGTCCCGATCGGACGGCTGCAAGGACCTGATGCGACCTTCCTACGGTGGCTTCGGCGAGCAGTGGGCGGGCGAGCCCATGTCGGCCTGCGCCTTCAGCTAGAGTTCGCGTCTCGTCTCTCATCCTGCCAGCCATAGTGTGATATGATCTCAAGCAAAGTGGTTATTATCAATTGGTGCTAGTGATATCGAAGCGCCAGGGCATGTGAGGCAGTGTACCGCTGGGTCATTCCGTGTGAACAAATCAGCTGTCATCTCGCCCCCATCCCTTTACTCCCCACCGACACCAGGTCATGAGGAATGCGGAGCCCATAAAAATAGCAAAATGATCGAAAAAGCCATGGGCAACTGAGTCAAGTGATAGCTCCGCGTTCGTCTGACCCTGGTCGGGTTGCGGGGCAGAAGCATGTGAGGACCTCTCGCCCCCGGCGTTGCTCCGATCGCGTTGCTCGGCGGGCCCGCGCACGCTGAATGTCAAGTCAATCGCCCAGGTGGCCCACCGTGGTCGCGGCGATCAAAATGGTACATGCCAACCGAGTTCAAATGCATTTGAATTATTGTTGACATAAGTTATTTTGCGCGAACATGCGAGGCCAAAGTGTGCACTGAAAGGCTCGAAGAATGTGATAAAATGGAATCCTGTCGGAACGTCCGAAGAGCGCGGGGTGATGTCATCAATGCTTGTTCTCATCGTCATCGTTCTTAATGGCTGAAAAGCCGACTGCCACTGGTCTGTGCTGTGGGGTCATCTCAGGTCGTTAGGGACCCATGGATGGGCCAGTGGCGGTCGGTGATTGTTCATCGGCGTCACCCAAAGGTAAACTATCTGACCTGCCTTTTCATTTCCATGAATTTTGCCCATTCGAAAACCGAAAAAGAAAACCGCAAGTACAAGTCGACTTTCGTCGGTTCTTTGCACAATCATACATTATGGTTCGAAGGATGTTGCAGATAAACCAACATATTTTATGTATAAAACAGAGATGGGAGGTACTTAGTGTGACAACTAGTGTAAGTCACCCGAAGATAAGGTACAAATAAGTCGAGCAGAGCCTGTGATTGGTTTCGCCACGGTAGTTTTCCTCCCCTCCGTCTGACGCGAGCTGCCCGGTTAATTTGTTAGCTTTACCAAATCCGCACCGATGCGCCCGGGACGTGCTTGTGTTTTAACCGCCGTGCAAGAGCCCCTGTATATAGTGGTCGTTTTCGTTGGCTGTGGAGTGCTTGTCTGGTGACCAGAGTCTGGGTGCACCGCGCACCTCCAGGACGCATCGAAATTGTATTTCGTTCGCCTCCGAGAATCCGCTGTGTCTAGGGTGTTTTGTACAGAAATACATGCTAATTCTGCAAGTGATACGGCAGTGTCATTGGTAGAGTCAGCTGACGGTCGACACGGAACGCGGGGCCGTAAGAACAAATCAAAAGCCGCGGAGGAAGGCGACGTGCAGTTACATGAATTCGTTCCTAGAAGTCTCAGGCGAGCTGGTCTGTTCCTGCTCGAGTCCACAGCACGCGTGATTCCCACAGATCCTTGAGAAATAACGGCTGGCGCGTAGTTGTTAAACTCCGCGAAGGACAAACGTATCATTGACGGTAGCCGCCGGTAGCGACAGCATTGTGACGATCTGGTCACGCATTTGTTCCAACACATTGATTGGGGTGCACATGATGCAATGCTCTTTCAATGTGATAAGCGCATTGATCATTATAGCTTGTGGTATGTGTACGTGTACGTGTGGTACCTGTAACAGTACGTGTAGGGTGTATCGGTCGCTATGACTTGCGGCAATCATCGTCACCGACACGTTCACGTTACCCATTCGTAGATATGGGAGCTTGTGAGCAGAGTAAGCGTTTCTCGTGTGTGCGATGAATGCGATTTTTACGCTTGCCAGTTATTTCACAGCCTGGTTTGATCCTTCTATTTTGCGGTGGACAGTTGGACACTCAAATTCTATGAACATCCTAAAAAAGCCCCAAGCAGCCGCTCAACTATTGGTGCACAAATGGTGCGGAACTCTCATAAGCATGCTTGGGTGGACACTCATTTTGACGATATAGAGAACAGAAGAACTATATGACTACGCTCATGGAAATGCTTATTTGAAATGCCACGAATGTCAGTGATACCAGTGTTCGCTCACAGTTTGCAGGCATTCAGGGGCGGGCATTCACGCACTGCTCAATGTTGCGGATCGTTCACGTTTTGATTTTCCTGCAATATCCTTCAGGGGCAGACAACTTATGACAGACATAACGCATCAGTCCAGAATAGAGACGCGACTTGTCAACCCGCCAAACCGTCAATATCTGACCCTGAAAAGCCCGCGAGATTTTGGCTGGGTTATGGGCCAGACATAAAGAAGTTAAAAAAAATCATCAAAAAATCAGTGTGCTGTCAAACACGAAACAATCGTGAAATAGTCGTATTTTGAATTTTTACAGGAGCACAAGTGACAAAAACCCACGGCAGACGTGACATGCCAGTGAGCCAAGCTACACAAATTGCACAGCTTTAAGCAGTCTCCTCACAAAATTTAACAATAGCGACCAAAATTTTTAAAATTAAGGCCCGATCATTGAGCAGCTGTTAGGTGCGGCCTCAATATGAATACAGCTACACGCTGCACATATTTATTACTGTGATGGTGTGGTGCACTCAACGTTTCTTGGTTTACACACACAATTTGTCTCAAATCACAGCCAATATCCATGATCGATGAAATGCGTGGGAAACGGCGAAGTCTTCCTTGCCCTGGGTTCACTCACTTGTCAATACAGTCCCAGTTACTGGCATATCAAATGCGCCACAATTGTCGAAACTGGAAGTAGTGGTGACGTAGAGTCTGTCTATCCATGTCTGAGGAAGATGTAATTAATTCGCGGCCAGACCACATGGTACTTGCATCTAATACGGTTTCTCCTCACTGCGGTTGTTATAACTTTTCAGCATATTTTTCATTACAGTTTTAACTCTGCCTTATGTGTCCATTTTTCTCATTTTGTAGGTGCATGCGGTTGAGAAAAAATTAACTGCATGCGCAGTTCTTAGTGGTGAAAAAATTCATGACTACGCATGACGTCAATGAAGCATTCGATACAAATCTAAAGATGCATTCAACAGGCTATGTAAAAAGTAGAAGCAGTTCCTGGAAGCTACGGTTGTAAGTTTTATTTATAATCAAATTATTATTTTTTCTGCAGCACACAGCAAAATGTCAGGTTTTTGTAACATTCTTAGATACCCTTATGTTACTGAACGGGCAGATACTCGTGAACAAAATATTACTGTCATCCTTGCTTTCACGTTGCATTACGCAAACTGCGCGGGAATGGTTGTGTGGTAGTACATGAATAGAGGTAGGAGAGCAATATGGATTATTTCAAAACTACCATGTAGTTCTTATTTCGTGTTGTTGGATCCTGTCTGTGCTTAAAGACAGCAAACACGAAGTATAAACAACAGTTGTGACGGAGTCAAACGATGTTTGCTTATATACAGTCTTATGAACTAGAGAGACTTTCAGTAACTTGAAACATCCAGCATTTTTTACGCTATCATTGCAAAACCATCAGTTAATGCATGCAGTGTTAGAAGAAATGGCCTGTAGTTTATTGAGATGAGGTAGAAAGGCGAAATCTCGGTTCATTTTCGTGATACACAGATTCAGTTTCCACCCCCTTCCTTCTCATTTGTAACTGAAAATTGTGATCATTGTTTTAGATCTGCTTTGATGCATGAAAAATCACATTATCCAGATGCTCTGATAGCTGCTCTCTAAGCTACATCATTGGTGGTAGCCAAACAATGCTATGTGTCAAATGACATGCAGGTTAATGGCGGGTCCGCATTGTAGCATAACGGGTTTTTGTGGGCTGGATCACTAGCAAGGCTGGCCGGGCTGGGCTGCGGGCTGGTATTTTGGGGAAAGTTGTGTTTCTAGCTTAAAACTTGGACAAGATAAACGTTTTCATGCACGAGGGTATGATAAAAAGTTAGCACGAGTATTTTGGTTATCGATAGTGGCAATATCGAGGGTTGGCACATGCCCGCCTGCATTTTTACATGTATCCGCGATGACCCGACTTCATGGCATCCCCACACAACGAATGCTTTGTGCATGATTTTGCTGGCAGTTATTCTTGGCGTATACGTATAGGTGTCGATTGTAGCCTTGGTATCGTTTTTATGTTGCCATATTTTCCGATCCCGATGTTATGAGCATGGTCTGTACATATGGACAGAAGTCTGTGGTGAGAATTCGACATCTGATGTCAATCAGTTGTTGATGTAGAGCTGCAACCATCAGGTGCGCACGTTCCCCCTGCTCAGTACGCAATTTTTGTTCTTGATCGATTTTGTTGTAGAATCGAAGCCAATTCGCGATCTGCGCAATATGTTTCAAACCTTCGGGACCTCGATGTGTCGTACTAAAAACTATGGATGTCATACGAGTGGCACTTGAAGCATTCTTTAAGAACCGTGTTATTGGCACAGTTGTTCCACGATGCTAAATATGGCGCGGTGAGATAGCAAAACTGGTGCCAATAGTGGTAAAAGGGGCGTGTCCACCACGCGAAGGCTTTGACGGGGCAGTTCATACATGCTGTTGCATTAGCCATATCAACTTTAATCAGCAAGCACCATAAGAGCTCAATCACTTTCGTGAATCCGGCTTACAATCTGGCGGCTATTCCGACGCCTTCACCTTTTCTGAGAAAGGAAGAATGTAAACGCCCGTTTCTAACGGTGTACACGTCCTGCTTCCTCCTTCCTTTAAATGGATATTATTTCGTGCAGTTATGCATTCATCGTGTATGCTAAGGTTGACAACGTATTTGCTTACACTCAGCGGTTTCAATTTTTGTAAATTATTGGGGGGGGGGGGCGAACGAAAGGCCCGACAACCCATCCCTCCCCTATTTCTCATCACCGGAGTTAGTCCACTTTATTTTGAGTAAACGCAATGCATCTTTTTATTCTTTGTATAATTCATAAAAGTCTTTAATTCAAGTAGTAGAGAAGTCATGCAGGGTTAATCCAGGCAGCAGGCACTAGACGCACGTATCGCTTCTGATCGGCACGTGAAGGCGCTCCTTTAGAAGCCACCTTAGCGCGCTGATGGCGCTCTTCTTTGGCGGTCATGGGAGGCGGCACGCATTTTGGCAGTAGAGGACAGGGACGGGGACGGGGACGGGGTTAGCCATGAAGGATTTGAGTCATTCCCATATTCCAGAGCTTTTCACCTTAACCTCATAAACCATTGCGCACCTTGTGGCGCTAGATATGTGAAGTTTGTTGCACCGTTTATCCGCTCAGCTGTTACGATTTGTATCTTGTAGTGAGAGCAACCATGACTTTTCGTTATGAGAGTGATACGAGACGCCACTACGCAGAAAAATAAAAGAATATAGTTTTATGTTTAAGTCATCTTTTAGCAACGTTTTTTGAAGTATTCCAGCCAAAAACATAGGGACTAAGCCAACATGGGGTGCAACCCAATATTTGGGGGGGGGGGGGGGAACAGGGCTCTCACAAAAAATACAAATCGACACCCGCACTTAGAATATGCGGAATCCCTTAACTTTTCCATTATGCAAGATCATCAGTCGATGCATCAATTTGGAAAACCCGACTATTGTTCACTTGTGTACTGGTTTTTGGGAGATTTGCACAATGTCTGACGCATTTTTGCAAAGGCCCGGACCCATTTCGCTCTTTTTCCATCTCAGATCTAATTCAAGGCAACAAAATTTCACACGTGCAATAATGCATTAGCAGATGTGTCATATTTCTTATATGTTTGAGCTTCGTTTTCTTCGATACATAACGGACATTGGAGGCACTGTTACGTTTGTACCAGAAAACACTGACACGTTGAACGGTACACGTTGCACGTAAATGATCTGCGTGTCAATGCTGAGTCAGCACAGTAGCATGCTGGACGTTTTCAGGCTTCATCTAGAGTTTCCCGAGGCGGTGCGTGCTGCGGGCTGCTCTTGCGAGAGCATTTGTGCACATGGTCCGGCCCCAACATGGTCAAGAAGATAAGGCTGTCTTGTTCGAAACAACAGCAAGGCTCCTGGATTTCAGTAACCCTGAATGCAAGCTTACGCCTTTGATAAGGATTCGCTAGGTCCTTTGGGACTTTCCTTTCCCGTATGTAATAAATGTTGCTGTGCTGGAGACCGTCCCAAAGCTTGTCACCAAATGTTCATGTCTAGTACAAGATGATGTGATTTGATGAGAATCATGGCTCTCGTGCACCGGCATCGTGTCAGAACGTCGCTCGACTGGTGAGCGGCCGACCACGGCGAAATCGCGAAGCCCCGGTGCCATTCCGGCGCGGGGGG